CGATGAACCTCTGGAAACACATAATAGCCGCATCCGCCGGGAGGCTTGCAACGATCTCAAGGTGGATGGCTCTCGACCATGCACGTGAACAGTGCCCCCAACGTTTCTCTTTCCTGCGACCGATTGCTACTTCAGCTGGTCCAAAATGATCGATGCTGGTGAGTTAATCTTTTCTCCGGAAGATCTCCCATTGAAGGACAGAGCGTTGATCTCCAAAGCAGCTTACAAATCTGGCATCAATGTACGACACACCGCACCGCGTTTCGATTCGTATGCCGAGAATCCAAACTTCTGCTGCAGTTCATTGATGACGCTCTCCGTGTCGCAATGGGCGAGTTTTTCATGATAATGAAGAATGAGCAGGCGAAAGTAGCAGTAGCTCTTTCTTGACTAGGCTGGTGGCGCATCAAACAAAGCATTTCCTCTTGAAAAACGTTCAGATGACTCCAGGAGCAAGGTGCCGTTCGGCACGACGTCCTCAGATTTCAGCGGCAATGGGCAAGAAACGGTGGCGGAAGGGGTCGAAGACCGAAACTTAAGTTTTACGTTAAAGAAATATCCCCAACCCAAAAATTTCGAAAAAAGTACCGGTGTTTGAATATGAGTGTGAAAAATAAATGGATCCAAGCAGTTGCCCTTACCAGTCTAAACCAAGAGCTAAAATGAGTGACGTTAGCTACTACTGGTAAGGGCCGCTGATTTAATGAATGGACAACGTTGATGGAATCTGAAAATTAATAAAATAAAATAAATGTTGGACCATGGGTCCCCAGAAGTTTCCCCGTAACACGCCGCCCCCCATCCCGTAGTTGAGACATCGGAGTACTATATTTCATGACACTTAATATAAGTTTATGAATAGCCTGATATAATTGCAATTTTTCTATGTCGGAATATAATCATGTATTATGTGATTTATACTGACATTTATTATTGGTTGTGAGATTGAAATCACATAACTCTATCCTAGTACAACAGAGTCACTTATTACTAGTGACCACTGATGGTAAAAATTTAAAAGCCAACCGACATATTTTACGAGATTCAACTGTTGCGATTCTGAGCTGGATGCGGCTGGTGCGCTCACGAGCATGACACGTGATGACTGTTTTGAAAGTCAGGAGGTCAAGTCCTCTGTTTCCATCTGTTGTCTGCCTTTCGGGGAAGTCCCTTCAAGGTTAAATTCGTATAAGAAAGGAATTTTTTGGTGGCTGCTGATTTGATTTTGGGATTCAATTTCAGATCAGCCCCAAACTTTGAAGTTCGCTAGGCAATCTTCGGTGTTTGCATTGAAGTAATATTACGGCCATTCTCACGATCAGGCGTTCTCAGCCTAATTACCATATCATTTTTGAAATTTGGCTTAATTGACTTAAATGCATTTAAATATAAAACACATGAAAAGTACGAATTTAACAATCGTAAAGGCGTCAAATTATTCAAAGCGGTTTTCGCGTAAATGAGATCCAAAAATTTTATGGTCACGGTAATTAGATAAGGCTAATACGTAATCTAACGGTAATTAGAAAAGATATCTAAAATAGCAAAAAAACAACATCTTGCATTGATAAATTTGTATACAAATATATAGCGTCATAAAAAACGCTGTAGGTACACTTAATAACCCTTTGTAAAAAGAAAAACACTAATTTCTATTATTTATTGTATTTAGATACTTTCAGTATACTGCAAGAATCGAGGCTATTACAGGAACACTTAGTTTCAGCAAGAAGGGGCTACATGTCACATTTCAAATGAGAGCATTTAGCTGAATCGGAATCTTAATCATCATTTATTTGATTTAAATGTGGTACAAACGATTTAACGTACAGATAGTGGATCAGGAGGTCTCACAAATTTGACTTTTCGGATATGCATATATCGAAAAAGTAATTAATGATATAAGTAATTTTTCCTCTTTTCAATCTATCTGCGATCAGCCATCACCCATTATCAGAATAAATTGAATTTGTAATAATGACAGTTCCAGCTCTGCATATCCCATGAATTGTCACCTCGATTCTTTTACAATAAGTTTTCAGATTGATGCTATTCGCTTTCTCCTGAGCCTGAATGCAGAATTCTCAGAATTTAGAAGGGATGCAGCAAATAGTTTTCATGACGGTCTAGTCTTTGTTTGTAAGCTTTACAGGAATTTTCTACACCCTCTTTGACGTTTGGTATCACTTCAGTGGACTTTGTAAACCAAGGTACACAGCTCAAGATTTTTAATAATTTATTTTGAAAACGTTAAAGTATTTCTACATTTGCGAGGCTAAGTCGATGCCATATATGTCTACATGGGTCTTAGGATGCATTTGTATGTAGTTTGTTCTCCAAGCTTCTTCTGCCTAGTATCCATTGCATATCACGAAGTTTTTTCTATGCATAAAAAAGCAGTTATTTTTTTTAAATTTAATTCTAAAAAANCTAGCTCACCTGAGAATGGCCGTAAAATAACTGAAAAGAAGTGAAAATGACATATTTTTTCTACTTAAATCCATTCTTACTCCTTTAAAATGAAATAAATAAATAAATATCCTTAAACATTTTACGCTACGCTTCTAGTCCCAAACTAAGCAAAGTAAAAAAAACAACGGATATTTAAACATACAGTCGTGGTCAACTAATTAGGGACAGATGGAATACTAAGCAATACTAAGTGTTCATATCCTATTATTGTGAGCTTCATTCAATATTACTGGCTGTTACTTTGTAAACATATTGACTATCAAGAACTCTATTTAACAGAATACAATAACAACAAAAAAAAACTCACTAACTTAATAAAAAATCTTAATCAAATCACATGAATCGGTAATTATGGTACGTACGGTCTGGCCACCTAATTAGGGACGCTTAAGTTTTTCCTTCTAAATTAAAAAAATAAAAAGTAATAACTTTTATTCTGTTCATTTGTAATTTCGGCGTCAATTTGAAAAGCGATATTCTTATCTTGCGAGTTAAAAACTCATCAAATTATTAAAGGTAATGGGCTGAAAGAAAAGCAACAATGCGCTAAGTAATAATCAATCTTTATCAGTGTGGATGGCCATACCGGTAAATTGCAGATCATCTGAAATGTTCCAAAAACATAAATCTACGATGCAGTGGCTTATTTCAAAATCATGAAACCACAGAAAGTATGCCTAGAAGGAAGAGGCTAATAAAAACAACCCCACAAGATGATCGCAGAATGGTCACTCTCGCAAAGAGAGACCCCTTTAAGGGTTTTATTCTGATCAAGAGCGAGATTTTTGGACTAGAACCGACTGCTGGAGTATCTGCGAGGACCGTCAGAAGACGACTGGTGGAGGCAAAGCTTGTAGGCAGAGTTCCTCGAAAAGTTCCACTACTGAAGATGGAACACAAAGAAGCAAGATTGGCGTTTGCAAGAAAGTATCAAAAACTTGACTTACAAATTAAATTAATTTTAATTCCTTAGAAGTATTCATATTGCTAGGATGCTTGGTTTTTTATTTAGATAGTTTTTGACATATAAGCGAAAAACCCAAAAATGGGACCTTCAAAGGCTGCGGTGGTAAACTTTTGATAATGTTCATCCCCTAACTAGCTAATCCAAACAAAGTTACAATGTTAAAAATTATGTTCCAAGCATTTTCATGTTAAAAGAATACGAATGTATTATTTCAGAAGCTAAATTTATAAGATTTGATATTCTCTAGTTCAAGCTTGAACTACTTTTTTTTAGGATTGTTTGTTAAAGCTGTATAATGTAAATTGTTAGTTAATTGTAAAATTGGTAATAATAATTGTTGTTCTTCATTTGACACTTTCTTTGGGATATTTAGGTGGCATTTAAAAGAACGCGAATTAATATATTTGAAGCCTTTTAATATCCCGTGGCTTAGTTATAAAATCTGAGGTTAGATGCCGTGGCAAAAAAAATTATCTGCGGCTTGACTTATTATAATTTGCCATTACTAAATAGCTAGAAATCTAGCTTTGTTTTTAAATATAATATACCTACTTAAATATTAGTAGACAGTTTACATACTAGGTATTAGGTATCCTCAGGACATTGTGATATCCTACTTCCTATTAATATTATAAATGCGAAAGTTTGGATGATGTCATGATGTCTGAATGTTTGTTACTCTTTCATGCAAAAACTACTGAACGGATTTTGTTCAAAATTTACAGTATTATTGTTTATAACCCAGATTAACATATAGGCTATAATTTATGACGATATGTGACCAACTAAATTTCAATAAATAAATAAGACGTGGGTAAAAAGCGCCATCTATCGTCACTGGTTAAAATCTACAGCGCTGGACGAAAAATTTGACGTTCGTAAATTATTCATGCGAGGGAAGCCGTGAAACTCCATCTATCATCATCATTAGTAATTAAACGAGGTCCACGCGGCCGCTAGTTGTTGATAATTTGTTTCTTTCTGATTTATATTTATTAGCATTTTGATTTAGAATATAAACCTATCTGAAAAGTACATTTTGTTTTATTATTAAACTCAACTCATTGCAAGTGGCTTACACATTCCTTTAAGTCATTTATTAAAACATTTTTGTAGATGACTATACATAAACACGTCAGATTTCAAAAAGGTGCGAGTTGATGACATAAAAAACAGAAGGTGCCAACTAGCATCTTTAGAGGTGCGAGATGACGAATAACTCCTACAACTGGGCCGGGAGGTGCCTGGGTGCGGGCGGCCGTAGGAACGGTCGATTTGAAAACGCCTAACGAACGATACTACAACATTGTAGGCAATTTACTGCAGTAAGGCGGTTATCACACTGCGCCGCGCTCCACGCGATTTTTTATTTGATTTTCATAAAAAAAATCACGCGCGCGGACGCGCTGTCAGTGTAAAGTGCCGCGCGTGTTTTCTATACAAACCGAGGTATTTGCATACAATGATTAAATCTGTCGCCCCGCGCTCCGCGCGGCGGAGCGCGGCGCAGTGTGATAACCGCCTATTTCTTTTGAAAGTACATTTTGGTTATTGTTTACAGACTATGCTGAATGAACACTTACCAATGCTAACCATAGCGGCGCTGGGCGCGTTAGGAGGCGCTGTTGTTCTGCTGCTGCCCGACACCACCAAGCTCAAAGAACCTCAGACACCAGTGGCCAAAAAAATGTAAGTCATTTCAACATTTAAAAATAAATTTAAAAAGACGAATAGGCTTCAACGAACAACTTCATTATAAATGTTTTCGATTTTCTCCCCCAACCCGTTTGGCCAACGTGGGGAGGTTTACCTATGCGAAATCTTCAATTTGACCGTCTGCCTGCCTATTAAATCAGAGAGGGTTGGCCTCTTGCAGTGGGGATTAATGCCCGTTTTCACCATCAATCCCTAATTTTTAAGTGATTTTTATGGTGACAAATAACAGCAATTTTGTTGACATAGGGGTCACTCAAAAATTAGGGATTGATGGTGAAAACGGGCATAAATGACCTTATGTTGATAAGGCGATTTTGCAAATTCTTCAGTTTACCTTTTCAGTATTAAGTACGGACAAGATTTCAGGATTTCAATTCTTTTTCAAATTGTGGAAGTTCTTCAAGAACCAGATAAAATGCTACTGTTTTTTTACTCTTCAGTTTAGGTAACGCCATCTATTTACATCAGTAACATTTCCCTTCTCTTTACAGGCCTACGTTCGATACTAACTCGCCTTGCAACGGTACGTTTACAGTCGCCGACGACAGAGGGCAGTAGCAGCTTACAATTGATAGACCATAGTGTGAACACTTATCAGTGTGGTGTGGTAAAATAAACTTGAAATCAGTGTACAGTAATAGTGAGAAAATTTTCGAATTTAATTTAGCAAGTAGTTAGATTTAAGCAAAGACCTAAGTAAACATTAGGTTAAATCAAGTTATTAGAGCATAAACATAAGTTTAATTTATGCCATTTCAGCCAGAGACTGTTTTTTCAGTCCAATTGACATTTGAGTTCAACAACCATTATGTACAAAGTTTGTAACTGCCAAGCTCAATGCAAGAGGTGTTTTGAAAAAATACTTGAGATTACAAACGACCAATGTGGTTTGTTTGAAACCAAAAGGTATGGGTATTTAGTAGGTGGTGTTTTATCATATGCCTGAGGACTATCTACCAAACTGATAAATCTAAATAATTTGACATTTTCATATCACTACGTCAACCAAACAGTACCGAATCACAATTAATTAATTTGTATTCGGTTAAAATAACTTAACATACTAATGGTTATTTTATAGAAGACAATGTTAGAACTGCAATTAATATTTTTTAACAATGGGGAATTTGAATTGATTCGTCCCTAAGTAGTTAGATACATAACTATAAAATCCGCCTGGATTACCCACAAAAATATTAAAAAGTATAATTTGATATTTACGGGTTTAATATACATCACTAACTACTTATTTAATTACTAATTTATGCCTAGACATAATGATAATTACGTAAAGCAGCTCTATGAGATAGCTACGACATTATATTGCTTTGTAGAATATTTTCTACGATAAAAGGGTAGTTAATGTTAAAGATGAAAACGTTTCTTTTGCTCCGACAAACGTTCAGAAATAATTGTCAATGTATTTTTTGTAAACATTTTCATTGTTCCTAATTAAACAGTGGTCTCATACATAAAATAACTCATTTAACCATATTTTTATTCCCGACTAGATTTTATATCTGGACTAGCCCTAAATGACAATTCAAATACCTGTCATCTTAACTAATACTAATATTATTTAAACAAAGGTTCTTTGTAAATGCTAATATCTGGAATTACCAAGTAGTCCAACGCAAAATAAATGAGCTAGTTGCCTAATAAATGTTCATTGTGAAATATTTAACCACCATTACATTTATTTAGGCCTCGTAAATATTAAAAGACCCAAATTGAAAGAAGTTTTTAAATGTACATTTAACCAGTTTTTTCATATTATCACAATAGAAGTATTTAACTAACCCAACCTAGTTATTAGTTATAAAATTAATTAGCTCAAAATGATAAATTTCTTTTCAATGTCAACATAATGTACGTACCTGTTAATATGTTACCATGTAGCATTCTAATGTATTTATTGTATAGCAATTAATAACCAGTTACCATTTTAAATGTAGAGTTAAGTGTATTTTGTTAAGCTAATTTTACTTTTTCTGAATTTCTTCTCAATGGGTCAAAAGTTTGATGTCAGGCCCATGTACTTATTTTAGATATAAAATATAAATAGCTATAAGCTATTAAGTCCCATTTTGTCAAATTATAGAAAAATGTAACTAATCAGTTCATTGTTTATTATTATGTAATTGAGAATGAATTATGCAGACATTAGCGAAGACCTGTCGAAACTATTTACGTTGAAACAATTAAAGTATTTTGTAATAACCTGATTTATTTTCATTTCTTACTCATCAAGGTCACCGAAATATCTTTACGCATGTGAGTGTATTAATTTAGTTATTTATACGGCAAGTTTTTTGGTACCTAACAAATTAACTGCTGAGATGATGATTTCTTCTATAATCGTGTTCAATAAACTTTTGTTAAGGTTAAAGTAAGATAGTGCAACCCAAGATTAGCTTTTTTTAAACTGACATGTTTTTAAAATATTTCAGTAATAATAGGTATTATTTATTGTATTATTTCATAAAAGTACCTAACAGTTTACGTATGTACTTGTACATACGAGTAATCGTATTATATAATTTTTGTGTTAAATGAGAATAGTCGTTGTAATAAGTAATTTTAGATGCTATGCTAAAATTGTTATATTTTTATAATTTGTTGTGGTGGTATTTTTGACCAACAATAATTAAACCTTTAGCTTGATTGTCTAATCATTAATTTGAAAGTAATTAGAAAAGTTGCGTAGGTTCTATTAATTGGTTACAATTACTGCTCTGATATAAATAAAGCTGTATGCATTTTGAAGCAAATTAGTTTATTATAATATTATTATAATCATTATCTGCATTTCAAAATGTTTTAATGTAAGTAGTTCTTACTCGTAGATTCAAGCCTTTATAGCTAGTATCAAGGTAAAATATCCATTCACACACTTACATAGTACTGATTTAATAGGGACGTTGACTCCTGGCCTCCAGTAGGTACACATGTCTAGGGCGCTATGCACTCCCTTGGTCATTACAAAATGTCGGTAACGGTGACGCTGCCCGCCGCGTCACTTATACGTGACCAGCGTACTGATCTTCCAACCACGAGGATAATTTACCACCTCAAAAGAAAATATTCCAACGCCCCACTTAGAAACGTACACTGTTCTTTCAAGTTAACAACCGTCGCGACAGATGTGTTAAGGTCTCCCATACAACAAGCGTATTCTATAATGTTACTATAATGACCAAGGAAAATCCTTTGGTGTAACGCTGTTTCGCCAGAGTTGGTCTAGAGATCATTGAGTTCGATGTATTTGAGCTACATAATATTGTCTACAATTACTGCTCTGGGATTTCTAGGGATAGGAATTTCTTCCTCTATATTTACTCAGACTCTATATTTATGAACTCCCAAATCCAATGGTAAGAGAATGCGACTCCCGACTCAGAGGTTCTAGGTTCGATTCCCATAGGACACACAGGATGTGAATCGGTGTGAAATTACTTGTTTATTGTTTGTTTCGGAAATCGCAGATTGTTTGAAAATGAAATTCCCGGCTTTGTATTGGCGGGCTCATAAGCTGTTCGATTCAGCAGCCCAGGTCTAGGTCTGACACTTGAATGACATCGTCTGTTACAACCCACTCGACAGTAGAAGTGCCTTTCTTATTGGGTGTTCTATGTAAGCTCATAATTTTCGCGGTCAACAACCTCTGCCTTAACTAAGTAAGTAGTGACATAAATACATACCTACATATTTCAACTGCAGCATTTTAACCCTTAAATGGTTTCTGTCCGTTATAAAGGACATGTCAAACAATTGCCTACAGAATCTAAATTAAAGCAATTTATCGACTTTCAAGGGATATTTTATAAAAAGCATGATATTTTATGTGAAACACGGGGCAGTAGTTCCATAAAAAACCGCGAATTTAAAAAATTAAGACAGTTGAATAACTGCAACAGCAAGGTCAAGTTTTCGCTGTTGATAAATATGGCAACACTGTGGGTATTACACTTGTTCTTGTGCTTTATTGACTGATTTTAGAATATTAACGAATAAAACTGACGATTATTGCCAAAACTGTAAAAAAATATCGATTTTTTTTCATTCATTTCAAGGTTACAAATGTTATGTCACTTAAAACGGACAACGCCATGTATCAGTAATAAATANGAAGTTTCGAATTAAATAGTGCAACTAATTTTGTTTCGCCCTACAAACTTTGGACCCCCATTTCACCCCCTTAGGGGGTAATTTTGGAAAAATCCTTTCTGATAACACCCTTAGACCCTAATAAGGAACCTACATACCAAAATTTGTGTCTTTATACACACCGGTTTGGGTTTTATGTTGATATATCAGGCAGTCAGTTTCTCTTTTTATATGTCTGGGTATTTTTTGATAAAATTATGTAAAATCAACAGTAAATAGTCCGGATGGATTGCAAAAGGCGCTGGATTAGCCAGAGGCTGATTATCAGGGATTCCTGTATTGTTATTAATAAAAGTTGTTTTACGTTTGTTTTCCTAAACTGGCAATGTCCGCCCTAAGTGACATGGATGTAATGCTAAATAATTGGCAATGTCCGTTTTGAGTGACATGTCATAACTTCTATACTAATTGAAATTTTTTCAAAAAGAAAAAATTGTTTTCTTAATCTATCAAAACAATACCTAAATCCCAAATTTGACCATTTTTGAAGCAAGGGTTCAATGAGTGCCAATTTAAGGGTTAACAGTATGAATATGACCCCAAAACAGGTCCTATTGTGGCGGCAAATGGAGTACGTGTCGAATCAGTAGCAAGTGATTGAATAAGGCGATAGAGGACAGATAACGGCGCTTCTAAATGGTCCTGCTGACGCGTAACTAAGGCAGTGGTTCTGGGAATTTATAATGCCACAGGGAAATTGTTTATAGCCTTTCATTCAAGAATCACAATCAATTAACATGAAGTGATTACTAACAAATCTGCTCCGAAAGTTATGATCAGGTAACAAACATTTTTTCATAATGTGAAGGAAAAACAATGCAGAACTACGGGTAATTTATCAATGTTTGGTTATTCAAGTATGAATTAGTGCAAGTCAGTAAGGAGAGAGCTGCCTAAGAAAGTAATTGATGAAAAATTGGTAATAGCATGGACGAGCTAGTTGCGGGGAATGAACTATTATTGCCACATAAACTCTCACTTAGTGATGCTGCCGATACACTTTCCTGCGGCTGCGTGACCGGACTGCTGCGTACGCGGCGAAACAGCGCTGACGTAACTCCCAAATGCATTATCCTGCAATGACAAACAAGAAAATGCCCAACGGCAGTAGTAGGGCAGAGCCGTTGTAATAAGTAGACTGTATATTCTATAGGTCTAGCTTTGCATCTGTCATTCTGTCTTTGGACACATGATGTAAGTATCCTAGAAGACGATACCCTCAATATTGAAAAGAATATCGTGTTATAGATTTTTCATAAATATTTGTAGTTCACTCACACGATTTACAAATTTGAAGAGTCAGATTAAACTTTAAGAGCCATAAAACAAAATGACGCCCGAGCATGAATCTTCGTTTAATAGCAGGTGCAGTCTATGATTGGTTTAAGTATTGAACTTCAACCAATCAAGCGCTTAATCTGAGGCTTGATCGTCACTCAATTCGGGTCTACAACTCAATTCATTCAGATTATGATTACAAGCGTATTCGATTAAGAAAATATCTCGGTTATCGCGAGCGTTAATGACTCTATGGTGTTAAATAGTGACATTATACAATTATACAAATCGTATACACCGCTAAACGTAAGGTTACAAGCCACGGGTTGTTACCACACCACCTGACATATCGCATGCTGTGTGCATTTCATTGAATTACAAATCGAAAAAGCACAATAAAGACCGTCGACGAGACGAATTGGATGTTACAACACTGACTTTGTACAAGAAACTAGTCAAGGTTTACCCCGGGCTCCGTTGCGATGAAAGGGGTGCCTGTAAATAGCGTATGCCTGTACAATCGATTAATCAGTATTCGAAGGAACATCAAATGGATTGAATTGATTATTGTGAAAAATTTAATTTAATATTCAGGAAAGAGATTTGTATTGTATTTGTGCCTGATATCAAGTCAAGCATGTTTGACAATACTTTTGTTTACGAGTGTGAGAGTAATCTTATTGAATAAAAAAATATACAATTATACATTACTATTTAAAATATCGCAGCAGGAAAGTTCTTGAGTGGCGACCACGAGCTGGAAGACGTAGCGTGGGCAGGCCTCCCACTAGGTGGACCGACGATCTGGTGAAGGTCGCGGGAGGTACCTGGATGCAAGCGGCGCAGGACCGGTCTTTGTGAAAATCCTTGGGGGAGGCTTTTGTCCAGCAGTGGACGTCTTTCGGCTGAAACGAACGAACGAACCGAACGATTTAAAATATCGAGTTAAAAGTACCTACTTAGTCCTCTGCTGATAGGCATTAGTGAAGATTTTTCAAGATTATTCAAGAAGACGAATGACGTACTAACCGTAATCCAAAACATTAGCATTAGTAATACAAAAAGTGTATTTCGTGTGATTATTTAATCTAAGCTTATTTTCTTCTACTACAATTGATGATGATATGATTGCGTTGATCCCTGCGACACAGTTTTATACTTCTGCAGGGGTCATCGTTTTTTCATTGTATTATGTACCCTTGTACTACTATACGAAAATAAATAAATTATTATTATTATTATTACAATAAAAACACTTCAAGCTAATGAATTCACTGGCCCAGATAAATACTCGTATATTACCATTTACCACTCATCATTGCAAGCAAAGGTTAACTTGAAAATAGCAATGGTAGAGCCTATTTTATTAACACACGTAACTTACTGAATAACGAGTGTTGTTTGAAAATCTTTGAAATTGCCGCAACCCCGAATGTTTGTACAGTCGCGGAATGAAAAGGTTCGTCACCTTAGTGTCGGTTTTCGCTTGCACTAGGTACTGTAAGAGTCAAACCTGCCAACATAACCGTGCAAGAAACATTGCTGCTAACATTTAAATAAATATGACGTTTGCTAACGAATAAGGTTTTGCTTGTTTATTTTTCTATCCCATCAGTGCAATGTTACAAAATGTAGTTTTTTTTATTTAATAGATAATGGCAGGTTGAACTAACAAGAAGGTTTTAGTTTATCAGTCTTAATTCTATTCTTGACAAGTTAAATCGTCAAACAACTTTGATCTGAATAATTTTGAACTTTACTGACGAACAGGTAAA